AAACTTTTCCTATGTTGAAGTCTTTAATTTCAGCTCAGTACGTTCAATATAATCCAAAACACACACGCACAAACACATATACAGACAAGGTTTCAACAATACGATTTTGTGCAACTGTTTCAGCACAAACTGCATAAAAAGACTGATATTGAAAGTCCAGATCAGGGCAAGCCATAAGTTTTACACTTTGAAGTAGCAAACTGGAAAACCACCATTAAATTAATCTCTCCATGTTCCACTACGTTCATCCGTTATGAGCTCGTAATCGTTCTCCTTGAGATCTTACTGCGCGCCATACCCTTGCTGAACCATGCCGAACAAGAAGCACCTGCGTACTCCCTATTCTTATTGTATAAGCCAATGTTGCACCGCTTACATTACTGATTTTTATCAGAACACAGAACAAATAAAGCAACAGTGCGAAACCATAACGGGAAAGAAGCACACACTGGTAATGATTAATAATAGATATCGTGAAGAAATCACAAATAAATTGGCTAGCAGCATACATTCTGCGATACAAAGAGAACCTCAGCACCACTGTTACTGAACAAGAATTTCCAGTATCAAGACGAAAAACGAATGAATTATTTATTTCCTTGGCGGCGGTCAAACGATTTCCGGGATCTGCCTCTCCTGCTCCACAATCACACCGGCTGAATCGCGCAGGCAACGTACTACAGAAGAACGGCACTCCTCGGCCAACCACAGGAAGCTCCATTCCGACCGTTCATATATTCGCCTATCAAAGCTCCTCAAGCAGAAATAATGCGTATTTTTCAAAGAACCAAATGCACCCGAAACAACATAGGCCTGTCGTTGATGAAGCGCACCCTACGAAGCAATGATCACCGTAACTTTCGTATCCCTCCCACTCTTTCAGTTCTTTCACTGCCCGGAGTAGTAAATTCTCGGGGACCGCGTCTCACCTTTCCACCTTTCCAGCTTCTTTTCAAATTATTCTATCGACCCGAAAGTCCCCTTGGTCGTCATCATCAATCTGCACATTCAGGAAAACTGTTCATTTTTCCAATTTCATCGCTTTTTATACAGCATCAATCAACTCTGAAATATGCAAAATTAATCCAGTTATTTTGCATATCGCACTTACCGACTCGTTCTCGCGCTGTTTATGAATGACCACTGAAAATGCATTGAGATTTGTATCGTGTGATTGCATGCTAACATAATGCATGCCGGAAAATGCATGCGAATAGCACGTGTACAGATCTGCATATGCAAATATACATATCATGAAAAGGAGCATCAATCTCTCTGCCTGCAAAGACGTTGAGTTGTCGTGCTACGAGCCTTGTAGAAGAAGGCACTGGTGGGGAAAAAAGTAAATAAGGACATTTAGATAACAGGAAGTATGCTTTTCCCTCTCCCGTGTATCAGTTATGGTGAGCATGAGGTAGTGTGTCCCCATACCTCACAAGCATTTCAGGATACGGTTTTAATATAATAGTGGATAGCCGCTAAACTACTTGCGCTTTGCAAGTGACAAAGTTTTAGCACAAATAAGAGCAATATTTGCTAAATAGGCGTGATATTGTAAAGCTTTGAAGCACAAAGTCTGGAAATTAGATAGGATCTTTCTTTGCCAGGACCGGAATGTGCGTCACAGTTATCGAGCCGGAAATCGTATTTAGAAGTGCTACCGGTTAGCGCAAATTTTACAGCATCGTAGGTGTTCTCAATGTATTAAACTGCAGAAATCGTATCCAGCTCTTCAATACCACTACTTTGACGGCAGTGAAGGTAAAACGTGGCCACTAGTGAAAGCGGAAAAGAGGTCGCTGTTGGTGACGGAGGCAGCAGCGAAGTGAAGCGCCGAATCATCTGTCGCTTTATATATTTCTAGCACATCTATTTTAGTTACTTGCGCT